ACTAGCAGCTCGGGATTGTAGCTCCCACTGAAAACGCAAAGAACGAGAGGACGCCACACCTTCACATGAATTCTTGTTGCTCACGCACCAGGAGATTCCCAGCAGAGGAGCCCCACGGGTCGCCAGCGCGACTCTTGTGACCGGCGAGGCGGTTTTGCCGGCGCCTCGGAGCGTCGGTTCTTGGTGCAGAGTCAGAAAGGCACCATGCATCTTAACGCCGCTGATTTGGTCGGTGCATTGGGTTGCTCAGATTTCGGCGCTGAGAATCAATAAGTTGGACGTCCACTCAGAAACCCAATTACAAAGACGGTAATTATAAAGACTACAGATGGATAAATCTACAACGAAGGGAAGAAAACAGCCAAAAAAGGCTGACAATACCCAAGATCAGAACGCCTCTCCCTCAGCAGGGGATCCCAGTTCCTCATCAGCAACGAAACAAGGCTTGATGGAGAACCAGTGTGTTCCAATTACAGAAGCAGGCTTCAAAACGTGGATAATAAGAAACTCCTGTGAATTAAAAGAACTTATGCTAACACAATCTAAAGAAACTAAGAACTTTGAAAAAAGGTTTGACGAAATGTCAACAAGAATACAAAATTTAGAGAGGAAAATAAGTGAATTGATGGAACTGAAAAACACAATACGAGAACTACGTGAAGTATGCACAAGTTTTAACTGCCGAATTGATCAAGCAGAAGAAAGGATATCAGAGGTCGAAGACCAACTCAATGAAATAAAACAAGAAGACAAGATTAGAGAAAAAAGGATAAAAAGGAATGAGCAAAGTCTCCAAGAAATATGGGACTATGTGAAAAGACCTAATCTACGCTTGATAGGTGTACCTGAATGTGACGAAGAGAATGAATCCAAGCTGGAAAATATGCTTCAGGATATTATTCAGGAAAATTTTCCCAACTTAGTAAGGCAGGATAATATTCAGCTCCAGGTAATACAGAGAACACCACAAAGATATTCCTCAAGAAGAGCAACTCCAAGGCACATAATCGTCAGATTCACCAGGGTTGAAATGAAGGAGAAAATACTAAGGGCAGCCGGAGAGAAAGGTCAGGTTACCCACAAAGGGAAGCCTATCAGACTCACAGCAGATCTCTCAGCAGAAACCCTACAAGCCAGAAGAGAGTGGGGACCAATATTCAACATCCTTAAAGAAAAGAACTTTCAACCAAGAATTTCACATCCAGCCAAACTAAGCTTCATAAGTGAAGGAAAAATAAAGTTTTTTGTGAACAAGCAAGCACTCAGAGAATTCATCACCACCAGGCCTGCTTTACAAGAGCTTCTGAAAGAACCACTACACATAGAAAGGAACAAACAGTATCAGCCTTTCTAAAAAATACCAAAAAGTAAAAAACATCAATATAATGAAGAATTTACATCAACTAATGGACAAAATAGCCAGCTAATATTAAATGACAGTATTAAACTCACATATATCATTATCAATTCTAAATTTAAATTGACTAAATTCCTCAATTCAAAGACAGGCAATTTGGACAAAAAACTAAAACTGTATGCTGCATCCAGACCCATCTCACATTCAAGGATACACAAAGACTCAAAACAAAGGATGGAGAGAGACTTACCAACCAACCAGAGAGCAAAAATAAATAAATAAAAAGCAGAAGTTACAATTTTTGCCTCTGATAAAATAGTATTTAAAGCAACAAAGATTAAAAGAAGCAAAGAAGGACATTATATAATGATAAAAGAATTAATGCAACAACAAGAAGAGTTAAAGGTCCTAAATATACACGCACCCAATACAGGAATACCCAGACATACAAGACTTATAAAGAGACTTAGACTCCCACACAATAATAGTCGGAGACTTCAACATTAATATTAGACAGATCAATGAGACAGAAAATTAATAACGATATCCAGGACTTGAACTCAGATCTGGAACAAGTAAACGTAATTAACATTTATAGAACTCTCCACTTTACACAAAATATACACTCTTATCAGTACCACATCATATCAACTTAGAAGTTTAAACGAAATGTTGGTTGGCTCCTTGTTTGTTACTCTCTTCCCTCATTTTCTTTCATGTCTCCATTATTAAGGACAATTACAGGCATACCCATATTTAGTCTGCATTCTAGCCCGGGCAGCAAAGCAATACCCCCATTCTCTCTCCCTCTTCCTCTTTCTCTTTCTTCCTCTTCTTTATTCTTTTTCTTATTATTCTTTTTCTCAAAAAAAAAAAAAAAAAAAAAAAAACTAAAATGGTCACCTTGGCACTTCCAAATTTAAAATAAAATATCTTACTTAAAAAAATAAATAAATAAAAATAAAAATAAAAATTAGAAGAGCAGACCCAGCCCTTGCCTTGGACTTACAGTCTAGAAAAGAAGACAGAGGCAGAGTGCCATGGCTCAAGGCTGGAATCCCAGCACTTTGTGGGAGGATGAGGCCAGTAGATCACCTGAGGCCAGTAGTCTCGGATCAGCCTGATCAACATGGCGAAACCCCGTCTCTACTAAAAACACAAAAAGCAGACGGGTATGGTGCAGAGGCCTATAATCCAGGCTACTTTAGAGGCTGAGGCAGAAGAATCACTTGAATCCAGAAGGTGGTAGTTGCAGTGAGCACAGATCATACCACCGCACTCCAGCCTGGGCAACAGAGCGATACCGTCTTAAAAAAAAAAAAGACAAGAAAATAATTACAAATAATTACGATTGTGTCAAATGCTACAAAGTAGTATAGGATATTATTAGAATACTGTGTGCTGAACATTTGGTAATTACTACTATCATTTTTTGAGACAGAGTTTAGCTCTGTCACCCAGGCTGAAGTGCAGTTGCAAGACTTCCACTCAATGCAACCTCTGCCTCCCAGGTTCAAGCGATTCTCCTGCCTCTGCCTCCTGAGGAGCTGGGATTACAGGTGCGCGCCACCACACCTGGCTAACTTTTGTGTTTTTAGTAAGAGACAGGGTTTCACCACGTTGACCAGGTTGGTCTCGAACTCCTCCTAACTTCAGGTGATCCACCCACCTCGGCCTCCCAAGTGCTGGGATTACAGGTGTGAGCCACCGCGCCCGGCCTTGACAATTATTTTTAACTGGAATTTTATAGTAAGACTGCAGACTCTTGCCCTATTTTAACTGAAATTTTATATAAGACTGCAGACTCTTGTCCTTTTTTCAAAACTGCAGAAGCATTGCTAGCATCTTATTAAAAATTAAATCACTTCTTGGTAGCAAGAATTGGACCGGGTTCACAACAGATTGGTCATACCTTAGACTGGGTACCAAGCTCTTTACTTTCCAATCTTTAAAGGGGGAGAATCTATGTATTACAAATAAACATTTCCATAAACCATTATTTGATCACAGCAAGTCTGTAATACTTTCCGGATCACACCCACTTTCACAAAAATCCCAATTTTGGGTATGGTTTTATTTTCCAAAGCAGGGTGGCGGGGAGGCGGAGAATTAACAAAGACTTCCTCCTCCGTGTCAAGCACGAAACGTGATTTGAAATCTACTATCTGCCTTGCTGTACACAGCACAAGAGAAAGTTACGATTTATACGTATTATGAGCGTCACATTATGAAATAGGTTTCTCCCGACAAACTAAAAATAGTAACTCCGCCCACTCGTTCTCGGCCCTTAGCTTGCTTGGTTTTTCGCCAGGACACTCCACCATCACTAGTATTTTATTGACTCTTCCATGGCCCTTTCCCTGCTCGCAGACTCCCAGGCCGTAAGCATCTAGAGAGCCTTAGTCCCCGCGACCGCGACTGGTAGTGTCGGAGTCAATCCGCTGGAACGCCTGCCCCGAGATGAAAGGAACAACAAAAAAAACTACTTCGGATCCCGGTGAGGGTCACTTCCTAGAACCGCTCGGCAGTACCTGGTACTGGGACAGGGCGGGCTCTTCACTGCCGCCGCTGGGGCCCCGAAGGCGAACGACTAAGAAGGAGCTGTCTTCTCCGTCCCACAGGAAGAGCTCTCCGCCGAGGCCAAAGACCATGTTTCTCGTCAGCAACTGCGACGGCGGCGATGAAGGTAATGACGAAGAAGCTGGTTTCTCAACTTCGGCTGGGCTCTGGTTTTTCAGTCCCTCCCGGAGCCGCAAAAACACGACATGGTTAGGAAGCCAGGTCGGCCACAGGTCGCCGTCGCCCACAGGGCCCTCGACGGCCGCCATCTTGGCCCACCTGCTCCCCTCGCTCCAGTCGCTCAGCCCGCCGAAGAGCGCAGCCAGTCCGCAGCCGTCCACTCACTGCTTCGGCCAATCACCGAGCAGCTGGCCCGGAAGCTTGAGAGGCTCTGTCAGAGGAGGGGTGAAAGCGAGGCCAAGCCCATCAGGCAGCGGGGTCGCCAGGGGAAAGCCAATCACCAGCCCAGCATTATTTCCGAAGCCCAAGGGGGCGGGGCGAGAAGTCAACAGAAAGGTGGTGTTGCTCGAGGTTTCGCACCTGGGGAGAGACACACTTGTGTATCTAATTGCCTATTAGAAACCTCCTTTTGGGTAAACCCAGGCATCCAGAAGTTTCCCTCAAGACTTGGGCCGGGCGCATTGGCTCACGCATGTAATCCCAGCACTTTGGGAAGCCACGGCGGGTGGATCACGAGGTCAGGAGTTCAAGACCAGCCTGGCTAAGACGGCGAAACCCCCTCTCTACTAAAAATACAAATAAATGATCCGGGCATGGTGGCAGGCGCATGTAATCCCAGGTACTCGGGAGGCTGAGGCAGAGAATTGCCTGAACCCGAGAGGCGGGGGTTGCAGTGAGCCGAGAACGCGCCACTGCACTCCCGCCTGGGAGACAGAGCGAATCTAAAAAGAAAAAAGAAAAAGACTTACCTCCTCCCTCACTGAAGGTTGGGCTGGCCTCACACGTTTCGCTTGGACGCTTAAATGTGTATCCACGTGGGGCGGGCCTGTAAGACAACACTTCCCAGAATACCCTGCGATCCAAGCGCGGTCAACGCCCCAAAACTACAACTCCCAGGGGTCTGTGTGCCGCTAGGGGGCGGGGCTTGCGCCGGGGTCACCCGAGAAGAGGCGATGGCGGAGTCGATGAGGTCTCCGCGCCGCTCTCTGTATAAACTGGTGGGCTCGCCGCCTTGGAAAGAGGCTTTTCGGCAGGTGGGTGTTTGGGCCATGGACACTACCCCAGTCTGACCCGGCTACCCCCGTCTTCTCTGCCTTTGCCTTAGTCCTGCTCTGTGGAGCAGGCGCCAGAGCGCCTGGCGGCTAGTGGAAGCGGATCTCAAACCCAGGCCTCCTGACTGTGGAGTGTGGGATTAGCCTGGGTCGGCCCAGTCCTAGAAAGCCTTGGTTTCGGATTCAGTTTTGTTTTAAATTTGAGTGTGGTCATGACATCCCCTTTTGCACCTCTGCAATAAGACTATCTACTGTTGCTGCGGAGGTGGCCACCGAGAGAGGTACTTTCTATACGTTCGTCTTGTGAGGTAGAGAAGATTTCTACTCTAGAGAGTAGTTAACTGAGGCTTAGAAGAACGCTCCACTTCAGTTCTGGCCTCTCCTGAACACAGTGTGGTTGCTAGTAAGTAATGTTATCCAAGCAAGTAAGCCAACGCAAGAAAGATAGCAGGTACAGCAGAGTTTCTCAGCCTTGACAATGGACATTTTGAGGGTGATGTTATTTGTTGTGGAGGGCTGTTTAAGCCACATCTCTAGCCTCTACCCACTAGATGCTAATAGTCCTACAAGTAGAATCGTGACAACCAAAAAAGTCTCCAAGCATTGCCAAGTGTTCCTTGGGGGACAAAACCTCCCTGAGTTCAGAAACGCTGTTGTACAGGAAGGCCGTTACCACAGCCACGTCTAGAGTAGCAAGAATTTGGAAGGAATGTAAATGTTCTGTAATAGGACGTTGGATGCTGAGATACTATGCACCTGACCATTAAGGAAACTGGGACTGAAGATAGAATAAAAAATATGGTTATATGTAAATTCATGTACAAAGCATTGTAATTGTATGTATCTCTACAGAGGAATATGCAAAAATAACACTAGTTAGTAGTGTGGTTGAAATTTTGTGTCTGTAAACTTTATTTTCCCAACTAATGTAAGAGTGTTTTTTAAAAGTAGAAATGCTTTTTTTTTTCCTCCTCATCTTGCTCTTTTCCAAGAGATGCCTGGAGAGAATGAGAAACAGCCGGGACAGGGTCCTAAACAGGTACCGCCAGGTTGGAAGCAGTATGCCAGGGAAGGCTCAGAACACCTTTCTAGTGCAAGAGGTGATGGAAGAAGAGTGGAATGCTTTGCAGTCAGTGGAGAATTGTCCAGAAGACTTGGCTCAGGTCAGGCTGGGCTATGTGTTTTCAGGGAGGGGGACTATACTACCAAGAACTGCTAGGGTCCTCTTTTACTTGTTTATTCGAGTCCTCTAAACCCACCACCTCCCTACCCCCATTTAGCATGTAACAGCTTTTAACCCAGGCTTTTCTTAATATTAGAGAATTAATTACCCTTAATATTAGACTTGTCTAGATGAATTGTTATGAAATACCAAACTGTAGACCTGCTCATCACTGCAACATCATCATCTATGAAACTAAAAATAAAGAAATTTCACTTCTTGCCTCTATCGTTGGGCATAGACAGGAATCTTTTTCTTTTTTTTTTGTCTTGCTCTGTTGCCCAGGCTGGAGTGCTATGGCGTGATCTTGGTTCACTACAACCTCTGCTTCTCGGATTCAAGCAATTCTCCTGCCTCAGCCTCCCGAGTAGCTGGGATTACAGATGTGTGCCACCATGCCTGGCTAATTTTTTTTCTATTTTTAGCAGGGAAGGGGTGTCACCGTGTTGGCCAGGCGGATCACAAACACCTGACCTGAAGTGATCTGCCCACCTCAGGAATCTCTTTCTAAAACAGTCTCCAGACACTTTCTGATTCTAATCTCAGCCAGCATTGGGAGCCATGTGTGGAAAGGAAACCATTTATAGTGTTTCAGGAAGAGCACTGGACTGGAAGTCAGGAGTTCCAGAATTCAAATCCTGGTTTGGCTATTGACTCATCTTCAATCTGCCTCTCTGAGGTTTAGTTTTCACACTTATAAAATGGAGAAGATAATGTTGTCAGCATTGTAAAGACTATGTAAGAAAATGTGGGCAAATATTTGAAACCATCAATGCACTGTGTAATAATGATGCATTATTCAGTGGCCTTTATGTGTTCTACAATACACCAATGTTTGCCATATAGCACCACAATTTTAGTACTCACAGTAACCCTTTCAGATAGATTTTTATTCCCAATTTACAGAGGCCAAAACTGAGATCTGCAGAGACTAGGAGCTTTTCCTGTGGTTACATAGCCTTGGAAGAATATGTACTTAACTACTACCCTATATCATCTCTCTAAAATTGGGTACCATTATTTTGTCACTGGGTAGTTGGATCATTTGTTGATGACTTCTCAGCATGAAAACATTACCCCACTGTCAGCATATTCTGCAGGAGGACTGGACTGATTTTGTCCAGTAAATCTAGGTTTTCAAGCCAGCCTCCAAGTATGAATCACTGTGGGGCTTAGTTGGTTATTAATACTTCAACTTCTGATACCTCCACTTTCTCTTCCAGTTGGAGGAGCTGATAGACATGGCTGTGCTGGAGGAAATCCAACAGGAGCTGATTGAGCAAGGTAACCCCTAAGAGTAGTCCTTCCTTACCTAAATTTAGCTACCAGAATGCTGTGACCTTTCCTTCAGTCAGGATTAGTTCATAAGTCCCCTTTGTTTACTTCCATCAGTCAAGTATCCAAAAGGATTCTTTTGTACTCGGTTGTCTTGGGTGTCTATCTTCCCAATAATAAGGGTCTCCAGGGTGCTGCTAGGCTTTGTGCTATGAACTTCTCATTTAATGACACTTTTCTCCATGTGACTATCCAGGAGTAACATAGTAGTATTAGAATAGAAGGTGGTGTTCTCATGCAGGTCATACAGCTAGTAAGTGGAGGAGACGGGAAGCAAAATGAGTTGTGTGAATCCAGTTCTCATGTTTATTCTACCATCCTGCCTCTCTATTAATGGGTTAATAGTTCGCTGACAGTGGTGGCTTATGCCTGTAATCCCAGTACTTTGAGAGGCTGAGGCAGGAGTATTGCTTGAGGCCACTTCAAGACCACCATGGGCAATATAACAAGACCCTGTCTCTACAAAAATTAAAAAAAAAAGCTGGGTGTAGTAGCACATACTTGTAGCCTCCTTCAGCCAGAAGGCTGAAGATCACTTGAGCCCAAGAGTTTAAGGTTACAGTGAGCTATAATTGCACCACCTCACTCCAGCCTGGTTGACAGAGTGAGATCCTGTCTCTTAAAAAAAAAAAAAAAAAAAAAAAAAAGCAACTTGCCATCTTACAAAATACAGTGACAGTACATGGTCAGATAGATCCCTTGACTTGTTCATTTTAAGTGCTGTATTCTCTATTAACTCCTCAGGGCCTTGTGAGCATCGACTCCTTGATGTAGGTGTCCATAGCACTGTGTAGATAGCATAATTTTTTGCCTTATATAGTTAAGACATTTATTCCATGTAGCCCTGATTTGAATAGGCTTTGTTTTTTTGTTTTTTGAGACAGGGTCTCTGCCCAGGCTGGAGTGCAGTGGTGAGATCACGGCCCACTGCAGCCTTGACCTCCTGGGCCCAAGTGATTTTCCCACCTCAGCCTTCTGAATAGCTGGGATCATAGGCATGTGCCACCACCCCTGGCTAATTTTTTTTTTTAGCTAAAGATGGTAAAAACAAGACAAAAAATTATTTATTTATTTTTTTGAGACAGGTTCTTGCTGTGTTGCCCAGGCTGGAGTGCAGTGGTATGATCATGGCTCACTGTGGCTTCATCCTCCTAGGCTCAACCAATCCTCCCATCTTAGCCTCCTGAGTAGCTGGGACTGCAGGTATGCACCACCGTGACCAGCTACCTTTTTTATTTTTTACAGAAACAAGGTCTCACTCTGTTGCCCAGGCTGGTGATAAACTCCTCCCTGGTCTCAAGTGATCCTCCCATCTGAGCCTCCCAAAGTGTTGAGATGACAGGCGTGAGCCAACATGCCTAGCCTAATTTGTGTGTGTGTGTGTAGAGACAGGTCTCAGTGTGTTGTGCAGGCTGGTCTTGAACACCTGGACTCAAATAATCCTCCTACCTCAGCCTCCCAAAGGATTGGGATTACAGACATGAGCCATGGCCCCCAGCCTTAGGCTTCCTTTTGATGACCTGTAAAATGGAGATAATACCCTCTAAGTTTGTTGTAAGGCTTAAACAACATGTGTAGAAGACTTTGGGCATTGCCTGGCACATAGAGAGTTTTCAATAATCAACAGCTATTATGGTGAGGCAAGAGTACACACTGTTGAGTCATACCCCTAAGATTCATTTGGCTTTACCACTTTAATTTGTGTGGGACTGAGCGAAGCACTTAATTTCCCTGTGCCTCAGTTTCTTTACCTTTAAAATAAGAATAATAATAGTGAAGAAGTTAACATATGTAAGGGACTTAAAATAGCATTTGACACATAAGTGCCATGCAAGTGTTAGTTGTTACAACTCTTGCTGTTGATTCCAGTTAGACTATAAATTCTTTAAGATATTATCTTTTTAAATTGATTTTCCCTTTCCCCCGCCTACAAAACCTATCTGAGTGGTGAAACTAAGACTCACCAAATGTTTATTTGGGGGCATATTAAACTGATAAATCTGAAGTGACAAGGATTTACTGTGTTGTGCTTACTCAGCCATAAGGAACATTCTAAAGCAGAGGTGGACAGACTTTTTGTGAAGAGCCAGATAGCAAATATTTTACTTTACAGACCATGTGGTGGTCTCTGGCACAACTGTTCAACTCTTCGGTTCTAATGGAAAAGCAGTTATAGTCATTACATAAACAAATAAGCATGGCTGTAGTTTTTTGACTCCTTCCCTAATATCTAGACCAGGTGTCCCCAAACTTTTTACACAGGGGGCCAGTTCACTGTCCCTCAGACCGTTGGAGGGCCGCCACATACTGTGCTCCTCTCACTGACCACCAGTGAAAGAGGTGCCTCTTTCTAAAGTGCGGCAGGGGGCCGGATAAATGGCCTCAGGGGGCCGCAGTTTGGGGACGCCTAAATCTAGACTGTCAGCTCTACAAGGACAGGACAGTCTTTTTCATCTTTGTGCCCCCAGTGACTAGCACATACTAGGTACTGTTGAATGTTTGCTGAGTGAATGAGCACACAGATTCTGAACTACACAGATTTCAAGTATGTGGACATACTTGGAAAACAGATCACTTTTGATTCAGCAGGGTTGTCCTGACATCAGAAATCAGTTCTCTCTCTTTTTTTTAAACACATAGTCTTGCTCTGTTGCCCAGATGGGAGTACTGTAGCGCAACCTCTGCCTCCTGGGTTTAAGCATTTCTTCTGCCTCAGCCACCCGAGTAGCTGGGATTACAGGTGTGCACCAACACGCCCAGCTAATTTTTTGTATTTTTTAGTAGAGATGAGGTTTCACCATGTTGGCCAGGCTGGTTTGGAACTCCTGACCTCAAGTGATTTGCCTGTCTTGGCCTCCCAAAGTGCTAGTATTACAGGCGTGAGCTGCGCCTGGCCATCCATCAGTTCTCTTTGTCAGCTTTTTTTAGTTGCCTGTGGGACCCTGATATTCCATATGCTCCTATGGCCTCTGGAGATGTGTGTGAAAATTGTCTTCTTGTGTCTTAGCTTACTTCTTGTGCTCACAAAAAGGGGACAGAGAGGAGGGAGAGAGATTCAACAGCCTGAGAGCAGTAAAAACTAGTGACTGGTTTTGTGGTTTTGCCCAAATATTTCCCTTGTGTGACAGAAGCCTTTGGAAGTGAAGCTTAGAATTAAATACAGGGCAACCTGAAGCATGGTGAAGCACTCCAACTGCCTTTGCCTTGCAGAGCAGTCGATCATCAGCGAGTATGAGAAGAGCTTGCAGTTTGATGAAAAGTGTCTCAGTGTCATGCTGGCTGAGTGGGAGGCAAACCCACTCATCTGTCCTGTATGTACAAAGTAAGAGTTAAAACCTTTTCAGCATTATTGATTCCCATTCCCCACTCTTGAGTGGCATTTCCCCCCACATTTGTTGCCTGAAAAGGTTTGAAGATCCAGGTCTGGTGGCCATGATGCTCTGGGATCTTAATTCTGCTTCTAGGTACAACCTGAGAATCACAGGCGGTGTGGTCGTGTGTCAGTGTGGCCTGTCCATCCCATCTCATGTGAGTGTTTCACACAGATTTTGTGACACTTCTTCCCACATATATCACTTTCTTGAAGACCCTCCAGTGCTGGCTTGGAGCCCACTGTGTATGTTTCTTCCCAATTTTATGTTCAGTGGTGTCACATTGATAGCTTCAAATCAGCCATGGTGAGAATATATATGGCATGAAAATTGGCAAACAGTACACATCAGGGCTTTTAGAGCCCTGGAGAGCCACCACTGCTTAAGTTTTTTAATGGAGACCTCAGCTTGGAATTGGGAATGCCTGTATCTCATGTTCCATAAAAATTTTCTATATATGAAGCCATACCCAATTCAGGATTTAAGCTTCAGTAATCTTAAAATACAGAAGGAGCCCTTTTATCTGGCATGAAGTGGACTGAAGTGCAAATCTGCCAGTTAATTGAGCAGTTGGTTAAAGAGGCAAATTATAAAAATAAAATATTTTATGGAAAGTTTCAAACACATAAATTTATTTGACAGCCTTTGAGTGTGGCTCTGCTGGTTGGAGAGCTGAGTCACCTGTTTTATTTTTATTTTCAGACAGAGTCTCACTGTGTTGCCCAGGCTGGAGTGCAGTGGTACAATCTTGGCTCACTGCAACCTCCGCCTCCTGAGTTAAAGCAAATCTTCTGTCTCAGCCTCCTGAGTACCTGGGATTACAGGTGTGTGCCACCACACTCGGCTAATTTTTGTATTTTTTTTCTTTTTCTTGTTATTTCTTTTTTTCTTTGTTTCTTAATTTTTGTATTTTTAATAGAGATGGAGTTTCACCAGTACAAACTCCTGACTCAGGTGATCCACCCGCCTTGGCCTCCCAAAGTGCTGGGATTACAGGTGTGAGCCACCAAGCCTGGCTGGGTCACCTTCTTTATATAACCAACTCCTATAATATACAGTCCAGAGTTTCCAGTTTTAATTCCATAAAGTGGATCAAGCAGCTGAGTATACAACTTTGAAATTTTTTCCTCCCCATCGTTTACCTAATTCTGTAGCTCTTTCTCTTTTTTTTAAAGCAGCTCATCTTTTAGAGTGTTTCCTAAACTTTTCACTTAAAAATAAAACTTCATTATCATTCCCCTGTATCATTGATTTACTTAATAAGTAATGTTACTGAGTTACAGTAGCAAGTTCAAGTAACCCAAGCAGAGCTGGGAGCAAATACTAATAGTTGTTGGTAAGGATGCACTCAGCTGGTAAGGGCAGAGGCAGAGGGAGGCTGGAAAGTAGTCTGCAATCTCTGAGTGTTCTTCCTGCCATGTGTGGCTGTCAGTGTGTTTTACAACAGGAGTAGAGGGTATTGGTTAATTTGGAGAGGCAGTTAAATGGAGATTGGTTAAGAGATCTTCTTGGTACAGTCATGGACCCAAGAGTATCCTTAAGCCTCCAAAGAATCAAGCCATCACAGTGAGCCACAATTACATTGGTTGGCATAAGGAGTGAGGATTTTCAGTCTGTTGGCTATCAAGTCACTAAGATGAGGTTGAACTTTTTTATTTTGTAGTCTTCTGACTTGACAGAGCAGAAGCTTCGTGCCTGTTTAGAGGGTAGTATAAATGAGCACAGTGCACATTGTCCCCACACACCTGAATTTTCAGTCACTGGAGGAACAGAAGAAAAGTCCAGTCTTCTCATGAGCTGTCTGGTAAGCCTCTCATGGAACCCAGACTGTGGTGGGGTCTGTGGTTGGTTTTATTCTCACCTTGATAGAAGTAATGGCCTAGAAACAGGTAAATGTTTAATGCAGTTTATTCTCTAAGGAATTTACTTGCATAGAAAAGTGAAGGTAACAAGTCATTTCAACTCAAAGGCCAATCATTCCCTGAAAAGAGAAGGGAAGATGCAGCGTAGGATCATGACAAGAGGATTGCTCTGGGAGTTAGGATGCCCGGCTCCACACCTGCTCTTGTTAGATCAGCAGTGGTCATTTTGGATTCAGCTGGTAATTTCAGAGTCAGAAGACCTAGATAGGCCACACTGGCATCACTTTTGCTGAAGGAAACAGGGCAGAAAGCATAGCAGGGCAGCATTAGGTTTGGCTGTCAGCAGAGTTTTCACAGAGGTCCAAGGGCTAGTCACTAGCCTGAGTGACAGCTGAGGTGTGAGGGACAGAAGACAAGTGGGTATGGGAACCACCTGTCTTAGAAGTCTTAAGCATGCTATAGGAACCAGTACCTCTTATAACCATGCAACATATATGTATGTGTGTGTATATATATCCACACAAACACACATAAAATCAGTAAAATATATATTATTATTGCTTTTTGGTCCCAGGGGAATTTTGGGATTAGGCGCATGCTGTACTTTAGGAAGTTTATAGCCATGGCCTTCTACTGAGTATTTAGAATTCCTTCATGGCCCTCTAATTCCAAATGCAATTAACCTATAGGGGTCATTTTTATTATAAGCAGCATTGCCTAGTAACACAGCCATTTCACCTTTATCAAGTTTCTTCCGTAGGTACTTAATTCTACTCATTCATTAAAAAAAATTAACTGAGGACTTACTAAAATTCAGAAATACATATCTCTCACAGAGCTCAAGTCTTGGGTTGGTAATAAGAGAACAGAATAAACAGGCAGTACCCCTGGAAAACTGTAGCGGGAGGGCTTATGGGAGTTCAGAGGAGGGTAATGTCACTTACGGTGACACCTTCCTGGAGGAGGCATTTAACTTGGCCTTAAAGCATGGAATGGATCTGGACAGACATGGAGATCTGGCGAGTTGTAGGGGTAGAGCTTAAGTGGAAGATCTCTACATGAAGAACAAGGCAGAGAAGCAGGAAACTGGAGTGTATACAAAGAGCATCTTGTTCTGCTTAGCTGGAGCATTAAGTTCATGAGGGAGAGGGTAGTTCCTGTTAGAAATAGGAAACAGATTCAGAGGAGTGAAGTAATCTGGCCAGAATTTTACTACTAAGTGATAGAGCTGGTATTAGACCCCCGACCTTTCTGGTTCCAGTGTCCCTGCTGTTTCCTGCTCCAGGCTCAGGCCTTGGTGGAAGGATGCCATTTTCCATCAGCTTGCATGGAAAGAAACATAGTACATGAAAGTTCAAATGAAACCCCTTACTACTTCCTGTTGATTACAGGCATGTGTTCTCCTGTCCCAGCTACCCAGCACTGGTTGCAGATGCTCGAGTATGCAGGTGCTTTCAGGCTTCTGTGCTGTTTATTCCGCTCTGCCTGAATGCCTTTGACTCCTCCCCCTCCATTTAAGGATCATTTGCACAGATATTTATTGAGCACTACAATATGCCATGTACTTCATTCAGCCTGATTCCTCACATGGAATTGGCCAGTCTTGGCCAGACATGGTGGCTTGTCTATAATCCCAGCACTTTGGGAGGCCAAAGCAGGCAGATCCCTTGAGGTTAGAAGTTCAAGACCAGCCTGGCCAACATGGTGAAACCCCATCTCTACTAAAAATACAAAAATGAGCCGGGCATGGTGGTGGGTGCCTGTAATCCCAGCTACTTGGGAGGCTGAGGCAGGAGAATTGCTTGAACCTGGAAGGTGGAGGTTGTAGTGAGCCGAGATCACACCACTGCACTCCAGCCTGGGTAACAGAGTGAGACTGTGTCTCAGAAACAGAACTGATGGCCAGGTGTGGTGGTTCATGCCTGTAATCCCCAGACTTTGAGAGGTCAAGGTGGGTGGATCATCTGAGGTCAGGAGTTTGAGACCAGCCCGGCCAACACGATGAAACCCTGTTTTTACTATAAAAAATTAGCCAGGCATGGTGGCATATGCCTGTAATCCCAGCTATTTGGGAGGCTGAGGAAGGAGAATCGCTTGAACCCGGAAAGCAGATAAAGTGAGTGGGTATCTCACCACTGTACTCCAGTCTGGGCAGCAAGAGCAACACCCCATTTTTTTTTTTTTTAAAAAAACGGCCAGTTCAGGAGTCCATTCCTTTGGAGTCTGTTACCATTCTCAGTAAACCTAAGGAGGGCTGGCAGAGGGGAATTAGCTGGTCTCTCCTTGGGCTTCCACTGTACCTCGTGCCATGTCACCTATAATAGTGTTGCAGTTACTGCTCCTCTTTGTCAATACGGACAAAGATACAAAGATACGGACCTTTGAGGGCAAGGTCCGTATCTTTGTTTTTACTCCCTGTGCTCGGCATATATTAATAAATAGGTGCTTAATATGCTTGTACAAATGAGTTAAGGTGGAGGGAGGAGAGCTGAAGAGGCACAAGTCAGATGGTTTTGGCTTCTGCCTTCTTGGTAAGATGAACAAGTGAGTCATCCACACAGATTATAATGGTGTCTGGAGCTCTTTAAGTATGAAAATCCAAATGCTCAGGGGTATGAGAAGGGCAATTAGAGTAAGCGGAAGACTGCCTAACTGCTGAGTGTACAGCTTCAGCTCAGCATATACTTGTTATGGACCCCGGTTATCCACTCACCTAACCATCAGTGCTGTGGCTCAGAGCAGCAGTGAAGCCAAGTGGGTAGTGAGGTTTGGGAGGTGAGTGCTATGCAGCAGTCCTGGAGATCGTAGTTGGCAGTGTGGGCTCTGGGGTGGGAAGGGAGACCATTGTTGGGTAAGTCAGGGGAGGTGGGGGGGTCACAGCGAACATGAGAAGCACAGCCAGGTGCTGTGGCTCATGCCTGTAATCCCAGCACTTAGGAAGGCTGAGATGGGTGGATCACTTGAGGCCAGGAATTCAAGACTCATCTGGGCAACATGATGAAACCCCATCTCTACTAAAAATACAAAAATTAGCCAGGCATGGAGGCTCATACCTGTACTCCCAGCTACTCATGAGGGTGAAGTGGGAGGACGGCTTGAGCTCAGGTGGCAGAGGTTGCAGTGAATCGAGATGACGGTATTGTGCTCCAGCCTGGGCGACAGGGAGATTATGCCTAAAAAATAAAAAAACAAGAAACAGGAGGGTAAAAGACAAAATTGTATTCTTTAGGTTCCGAGTTCAACATTTGGAAAGGCAGACATTTGGAATGCTCTAGTTCAGCGTGCCACTCAACCTTTGGTTTTCACTTAAGGGGGAATCAAGGACCACTGGGTTAGAATTTGGCGAGGTCAGGGTGTAGGGTAGCTCAGCATAAATGTTGAGGATGTGTTGGAAGATAGATGGGGTGCGTTGCAGAAGATGGTGATGTATTATAAGGACTAGGAATATTTCAGATGTGAAGGTGCTCAGGTGGTGGTCATGGGGATGGAACATGCTAAACTACCTATTAGCAGGGCTATAGTGCCTTTTAGAGAAAGCGAAATATATTACCTGTGGAAGTGGTAAGAAACAAGGGTAACCTATTTATGCCTAGTGTTCCATTATTGGACACTAAACCTGTGGGAGTTACTGATGCCTTACTGCTCAAGGTCATCCCCAAATTCTGATTTTTCACACAAAAAATTTGCATAAATGGGTTAAGGACAAACTGGATTCCTTAGCATATTGGTGGGCTGAGCCATCAAGGAATTGGGAGCCAGTTTTACACTCAGGTGCTTACTGATATTACAAATCAAGGGGAAGACAGTTTTCTGCCTATACTGATCATGCATGGTTTGTACCTCCCCTGTGATACATACCTGCATCAATCTTGTGTAGATTTGGAGTCTCATCTTCCTGCTGGGCTTTAAAGGCCCCAGGCCATCAAGAATTTGAATACAGTCTTTCTGGTCACTGGTTTCCTGAGGGTAAGGATGTTTGATTAGTTCATCTACAGGATTTAATCTTAGCTTGAAGACTATATTGATGCCAATGGTTTCCAAGGCAGTTGTTTGAAGGCTGCAGGGCAGAGGCCCAGCAAAGCAAGAGGGGCAGTCATCAGTGGCCTCCTTGACAAACGACACTAGTGATGACTGTCATGACTAGAATACAATTTAAGCTAATTATCTTCCTGTTTAAACCTAGGCTTGTGATACTTGGGCTGTGATCCTCTAGAGCCAGCTTGGAGTCACATCATTCTAATCAGCTGAAGACAACTCATTCCCTCTGAGGAGCCTTGTACATATAAGTCTTTTATTTATAACTTATTTTGTATTGAAACTTTTCAGTGATACTGAATGAAAAAAAAAAGAAAAACCTTTTCCAGCATCTGTTCTTGTTTTTTTTGTGACGCAGGTTGAAGGGGGAGGAATAGAAAAGACAAACTGCCTTGGAGGAGATAAACCAATTTTATTGTCTATTATGTTATACAAAAATCTACAAATAATAGATTTGTACAGAAAAAAAGTGGTAATAAATGAGAGCGTAAAACATATATAATTTAAATTTGGTATTTTTTTTTCCCATGATATTAGGATGATAATCATTTCAAAGCATGTGTCTAGCTTCAGACTTGGATTTGTCCAATGGCCAAAGCCTGCCGTAAAACTATGGCTTTCAGTGTCTGTCTGCTCTACTTGCTCTTGACAAAACTTTTGAGGTCTTCAAGAAAAGTAATGTACTCCTGGTGCTCCAGGGCTGTGCTGAGCTCCACCAACTCATCTGCAAAAGTGTTGTCCACCCCTCGGTCCGCAAGGAAATCCATTAGGTGGTCATATAGGGCCTGCAAAAAACAACATTTACTAGTTAAAAAAAAATCTCTAATTTCCATTAAAATTCTTCTTTCTCTCCTTGAACTAGGACCCTCCTTTGCAAGGTCCAAAAGGTTCCCACATCTTATCAAGCACTCACCCAGTCCAGGGAATCTGTGTTGAGTGTATAATTAGTGTCCTTCCATTCCGAGTCGCCAGTGGACTGAAAGCTGACTTCCCTGATGGAGAAGATGTCACTCTCAGCCTCATCCTCTTGTCCAACCTGAGAAGAAACAGTATCTGGGGAAACTGAAGGGTTTTCCAGGGCAAGCCAGACTCATGCAAAGAAAAGGGGGTCACTGGCAGCGTATCACTCATTAGGTTTTAACCCTCTTCCCTCACTCCATACCTCTCCCTCTCCTGGCTTTGCTAGTCTAAGCTTGAAAATCTTTAAATGTCTGCTAAAAGGGACAGGAAGTTCCCGAGAGACACGCTGTGTTCCCCAGGGGTACCAAGGGGCTAGCACTCCATCCTGCATACCTCATCTTCTGGATAATGACAGTCCAGCACAAGGGCCTTCTTGCCATCATTCTTTATAACTTCAACCACGAAATTGGGAGTTGACGTCAACTCAGGCTGGGAAAAGAAACAAGAAGTCAATACATGCCATTGCTGGAAGGAGATGGATGCCTGGATCAGGGATCTCAGTTCAGAGTGTCTGATGGCCACCACTGTTAGGATACAATGTAGCCATTTTAATAGTCTTATGCCATACTGTTCCCAAATGAAGAGCTTTATCTCTTCATAGCTCAGGCCTATAATCCCAACACTTTGGGAGGTTGAGGAGGGTGGTTCACCTGAGGTCAGTAGTTTAAGACCAGTATGGCCAACACGGTGAAACCCCATCTCTACTAAAAATACAAAAATTAGCCAGACGTGGTAGCAGGCACCTATAATCTCAGCTACTCAGGAGGCTGAGGCAGGAGAAATCACTGGAGCCTGGGAGGCAGAGGTTGCAGTGAGCCACGATCTTGCTATTGCACTCCAGCCCAGGCTGACGGCAGTGAGACTCCATCTCCAAAAGAAAAAATAAATAAAAGGATACCAGCCTCAGCCATGTGCCAATTAACTGAGTTTCTATCAGTCCCTTAACATTCCAAGCCTTTTTCTCCACCCATATATTGCAGAGTCTTCCTAAAGTTTCAAGATCTCTTTCTAGCTTGACTGTTCCAAGAGTCTTCATAAGGGACCAGGGTCAAAGGCTGGGGAACCTGGTTAAATGGCCATCCTTATGGCTGAGTAACAGCAGCAACTTTTCCTAATGGTGAGCTCTGGGAGCAGACTGGGTCCAATGTCAGGGAAATAATAGTTGGGGTGGCTGGTAAAGAAGCATACCAGAGAGCTATGCTGACCACACCAGGTCATGAAACAACACTGTATTGATGGCTGCTTTGGCAGAAGCTCTAGGGACTCTGTGGCCCTCATACTGGCTGGCTACTAGGCTGGGCACAGCACTCCTTAAAAATGTTGGAAGAGGCTGAGCATGGTGGCTCACGCCTGTAATCACAGCACTTTGGGAGGCCCAGGTGGGCGGAACACTTGAGTTCAGGAGTTCGAGGCCAGCCTGGCAAACATGGTGAAACTCCATCTCTACTAAAAATGCAAATATTAGCTGGTTGTGGTGGTGCATGCCTGTAATCCCAGGTACTCGGGAGGCTGAGGCTGGGGAGTCACTTGAACCTGGGAGGCGGAAGTTGCAGTGAGCAGAGATTGCACCACTGCACTCTAGACTGGGCAATGGAGTGAGACCCTGTCTCAAAAAAAAAAAAAAAAAAAAAACTCCCTATCATGGGAAAGGTTGAGACCATTTCATATCCTTTCCATTAAGAGAATACTGTCCTCACTTCATCTACTTGATTGTAAAAAAAAAAAAAAAATAAAAAGAGAATATTGGCCAAACTACTAAGCCTGAGCTGGCAGACAGCAACATATTCGGTCCCTGGGAAAAGAAAGAAAAGGGAGCCACAGTGCTGTTAAAGCTGGTCAGAAACCACTGATTGCTCCTGCCTCAGTCTCCTGCATAGCTGGAACCACAGTCATGTGCCACCATTAGAGGCAGGGTCTTGCCATGTTCCTCAGGCTGGTCTCAAACTCCTGGCCTCAAGGGATCTTTCCAGCTTGGCCTCCCAAAGTGCTCCTCTGAGCCCCAGGGACAGCCTGTCAGAACTTAGGTAAAAGCTGATTACAGTGTTAAGCTTACCTCCTGTTCTTCAGCCTTCTGCCCTTGGGAGGGTTCCTCTCCACCATCAAATGTTGGTGGGATGCTGTTGTTAATGTTGAAAGTGACAGTGATTCTAAAAGGGCAAGAGACAACAGACAAGGCAGCTTTTAACTGAGTAGGCTAACACATAAACATGGAGGTCTGCTACAGTTAAAAAGGCCTATTGAAACAATGTCTCTATCCTGGCTGGCAGTTTCATGCAGAACTTCAAACAGGGTTGGGTGCCTACCTCCAATTCCCAGTGACTCAGCAGGTCTGAAGTGTGCCTACCATGTGACAGCTGCTGGAAGCCAAAGCTGGCCTCAGTTTATCTCAGCCAAACAAGTCATGCATGGGTTACTCCCAACAGGCCAGTATCCCAGGGCTCACTGCCGTGTGTTGACTGGGCATCTCATGTCCATAGTCAGCAGACACTGCTTACCCTGGTCTTACCAGGGAACGCTTAGTGAAAATAAGGACCTGAGAAGCTTGTGAGACGGAACAGAAGCCCCTTTAAAGCCTTCCCTATCAGAAAATCCGCCCTGCAAGGAAAGGAAGGAGCAATGGAAGGTGAGAGCACCCTGGCCCCAGGAGGGGGATGCCTCACAAAGAACAAAGGCTGTAGTAGAGCCATTCTTCAGAGTACTTATGGGGAGTTTTATCATCACAAAGCAGGCCAGAAAAACCAACTAATGACAATTTTAAGGTGCAAGAATCCACACATGACAAATCATGTTCCAAAGTTTGATTTAAAATTCCTGAGGTTTAGAACTAGATAGACCTGCTGGACTACGCAACTTGGGCAGTACCATTCAAGAGTACATTGGCCGGGCGCGGTGGCTCAAGCCTGTAATCCCAGCACTTTGGGAGTCCGAGGCGGGTGGATCACGAGGTCAAGAGATCGAGACCATCCTGGTCAACATGGTGAAACCCCGTCTCTACTAAAAATACAAAAAAATTAGCTGGGCATGGTGGCGTGTGCCTGTAATCCCAGCTACTCAGGAGGCTGAGGCAGGAGAATCGCCTGAACCCAGGGGGCGGAGGTTGTGGTGAGCCGAGATCGCCCCATTGCACTCCAGCCTGGGTTACAAGAGCGAAACTCCGTCTCAAAAAAAAAAAAAAAAAAAAAAAAAAAAGTACATTAAGTGCTGCCTCCTCGACTTGTGCTAACTAGCTGCTGTGCCAATGAAGTTACTTCTCCACAGTAACAGTGGCAGTCTGAAGTTGACAAAATTGTATTTAATTCCAACTGTGCTGACCAAGCTGAGCTCCTGGGCACAGAAATGCAATGATGTTCGCCAGAGTATTATTTTTAATAGCCCCCAAATAGCTGTGAAAAGCTTGTGCAAATGGTCTTTAAATGAGATTACAGAAGACACAACTGACCTGTGTATGGGAAAAAACACACTATCCAATAGGCAAAGAGAACTAGGACCTTACTTCACACCATACTAAAAATGGATCCGAGACCTAAACTAAGACCTAAAACTAGAAAACGCTTTGAAAAAAATAAGGCATCAATCTTCGCAACCTTGGGTTAGGCAGTGGTTTCTTGGATGTGACACTAAAAAAGCACAAGTTGCACTTGGTCAATCAGAAGAAAAGTAAAAAAGCCCAAGTGACCAAGAAAAAACAAACAAACAAAAAAACAAACAAAATTAATAACTTTTGTGTCAGAGGACATTACCAAGAATGAAAAGAAAACCCACGAGATGGGATGGTAATACTTGCAAATCGCTAATGTGATAAGAGAATTATACCCAGAATAAACTAAAGAACTCTTAAAACCCAACAATTAAAAAGGTAAACAGGCTGGGCAGCATGGCTCACACCTGTAATTGGAGCACTTTGGGAGACCCAGGCAGGTGGATGATGAGGTCAGGAGTTCAAGACCAGCCTGGCCAACACTAAAACACAGAAATTAGCCAGGTATGCGCCTATAATCCCAGTTACTCAAGAGGCTGAAGCAGGAGCATTGCTTGAACCCAGGAAGCAGAGGTTGCAGTTAGCCGAGATCCTGCCACTGCACTCCAGCCTGTGTGACAGAGCAAGACTCCGTGGGGTAGGGGGAAAGCTACATATTATGACTCCGTTTATATGAAATGACCAAAAGAGGCGATCTATAGAGAAAGTAGCTCAGTGACTGCCTGGGGTGGCTAGCTGGAGGAATCAGGAGTGACTGCTAATGGGTATTCTTTGGGGATGACAATGTTCTAGAATTAGGCAGTGGTATCTGATGCATAATTCTATGAGGACTAAGAAACAATTTAATAAGCTTCAATAAATGGGTAAATTTTATGGCATATAAATTAAATCTTGTTAAAGCTGTCACTTAAAAAAATTATTAAAGGCTGGGTGCGGTGGTTCACGCCTGTAATCCCAGCACTTTGGGAGGCCGAGGCCGGCAGATCATGAGGTCAGGAGATCAAAACCATTCTGGCAAAAATGGCAAAACCCTGTCTCTACTAAAAATACAAAACTA